CACAGTTCTACCACGTCATTTCCCAATCTGGACGGATTGAAGTTATATAATCATCGAAAAAAAGTTAGAAAATCTTCACCGTTTTCGTCCCTCGCCATGGCGAATAAGGCCTTCGTTTTGGCCATTTTCGCTGAGCCCTGAGGGCCACAGGCTCAGACCTACAGAGCTGAGACTCACATCAGTAATATTAGGTTATGGCCTGAACGCAATGACACTAAAATCATTCGCCCAATTTGAGCTCTTTAGCGCCACCTGTCGGAAAGTAATAGGGCACTAGTGCTCGGATCGGCCCGAAAATCGCTGAGTGTATTCTCTGGACCGAGACGAGCAAAACATTACATTACGCAAAAGTTGTACGTCCCACACCTGACCACTGGGGGCGCCGTAAAGTGAATGAATGAGCTTTTTGGGGCAAAATGTTTGTCCGATGAGGCTAAAAATGAATTCAGAAATACAGCGTATGACCCTGAACACAACAATATGCAACACACAACTGTGAGTGCAACAGCGCCACCTACAGGCAGTTCAAGGTGTCGCATTTTTGGCTTCGTACTAGTCCCTGGATTTTCATCGCACAGACTTCTACCATGTCATTTCTCCATCTGGACGGATTGAAGTTATGCAATCATCGCATAAAAGTTAGAATTTTGTTATCGTTTTCATGCGAGGTAGTGGGGAATTTCTCCATGTTTGATGCTCTCCTGACCACAGGCTCAGACCTACAGAGCTGAAACTCACATCACTAACAGTTGGTAATGGCCTGAGAGTAATGGTGTGAAAACACACACCTAATATGACTCTACAGCGCCACCTATGGAAGGCTTCTGACCTAAACTTTTCCATCTTCACCAAAGTTGCAAAATCAAATCTTTACATCTGTACGAGCAAAATACTACTCTACGTAGAGGGTGCATGTCCCGGAGGTGACCACTAGGGACGCACTTTATCATATAAATGAGCTTTTATATACGTAATCCTGGTCAGATCGGGCTGCCAATTCGTCGGCGTGACGCTTGTGGGCCAGGAGGCGGTCGCAAGGAGGGCGAGCTTTCTCGCCGCTTGCGGCTAAGAGGGGCAGCATGAGGCCTTTCATCGCCGCTTGCGGCTTTATTGATATTGTTATTCTTTTTCTTTATTCTTTTTTCCGCAACTTCAATTCGATTTTTGACCCTGAAGACATGCACGAAAGTCTGCACATGGGGGGTCTAAAACGACCGGTTCGGCGAAAAATTTGATAAAATGAACGTTTCCAGATTGTCCGACGCTCGCCGACTCTATAACGCCCCCTAGAAATTTCATTTTTTTTGACCCTCTGGGGATTTTTTTTCAAATTTTGGAGTAGGTACACGAAATTCGGATGAGTGATAGATCTCTATGAGACGAGCATAAAAGCCGTTCTAAGCACATGTCTGGGACCAACAGGAAGTCGGCCATGAGGGCCGAAGTTTCGCCACTAATTTGACTTTTCATTTAGAAATTCGAACTAGTCCCTGGTTTTTCATCACACAGAGTTCTACCACGTCATTTCCCAATCTGGACGGATTGAAGTTATATAATCATCAAAAAAAGTTAGAAAATCTTCACCGTTTTTGTCCCTCGCCATGGCGAATAAGGCCTTCGTTTTGGCCATTTTCGCTGAGCCCTGAGGGCCACAGGCTCAGACCTACAGAGCTGAGACTCACATCAGTAATATTAGGTTATGGCCTGAACGCAATGACACTAAAATCATTCGCCCAATTTGAGCTCTTTAGCGCCACCTGTCGGAAAGTAATAGGGCACTAGTGCTCGGATCGGCCCGAAAATCGCTGAGTGTATTCTCTGGACCGAGACGAGCAAAACATTACATTACGCAAAAGTTGTACGTCCCACACCTGACCACTGGGGGCGCCGTAAAGTGAATAAATGAGCTTTTTGGGGCAAAATGTTTGTCCGAGAGGCTAAAAATGAATTCAGAAATACAGCGTATGACCCTGAACACAACGATATACAACACACAACTGTGAGTGCAACAGCGCCACCTACAGGCAGTTCAAGGTGTCCATTTTTGGCTTCGTACTAGTCCCTGGATTTTCATCGCACAGACTTCTACCATGTCATTTCTCCATCTGGACGGATTGAAGTTATGCAATCATCGCATAAAAGTTAGAATTTTGTTATCGTTTTCATGCGAGGTAGTGGGGAATTTCTCCATGTTTGATGCTCTCCTGACCACAGGCTCAGACCTACAGAGCTGAAACTCACATCGCTAACAGTTGGTAATGGCCTGAGAGTAATGGTGTGAAAACACACACCTAATATGACTCTACAGCGCCACCTATGGAAGGCTTCTGACCTAAACTTTTCCGATCTTCACCAAAGTTGCAAAATCAAATCTTTACATCTGTACGAGCAAAATACTACTCTACGTAGAGGGTGCATGTCCCGGAGGTGACCACTAGGGACGCACTTTATCAAATAAATGAGCTTTTATATACGTAATCCTGGTCAGATCGGGCTGCCAATTCGTCGGCGTGACGCTTGTGGGACTGGCGCCCGGGAGGCGGTCGCAAGAGGGGCGAGGCCTTTCATCGCCGCTTGCGGCTTTAATTATTATTATTCTTTTTTTTCCGCATCTTCAATTCGATTTTTGACCCTGAAGACATGCACGAAAGTCTGCACATGGGGGGTCTAAAACGACCGGTTCGGCGAAAAATTTTGATAAAACGGACGTTTCGAGATTTTCCGACAAAAGGCGAATCAATAGCGCCCCCTTGAAAATTCTAAATTTTCCATTTCTATTGGAGGCAGGATTGCATATTTTGGAGTAGGTACACGAAATTCGGATGAGTGATAGATCTCTATGAGACGAGCATAAAAGCCGGTCTAAGCACATGTCTGGGACCAACAGGAAGTCGGCCATGATGGGCCGAAGTTTCGCCACTAATTTGACTTTTCATTTACAAATTCGAACTAGTCCCTGGTTTTTCATCACACAGAGTTCTACCACGTCATTTCCTAATCTGGACGGATTGAAGTTATATAATCATCAACAAAAAGTTAGAAAATCTTCACCGTTTTCGTCCCTCGCCATGGCGAATAAGGCCTTCGTTTTGGCCATTTTCGCTGAGCCCTGAGGGCCACAGGCTCAGACCTACAGAGCTGAGACTCACATCAGTAATATTAGGTTATGGCCTGAACGCAATGACACTAAAATCATTCGCCCAATATGAGCTCTTTAGCGCCACCTGTCGGAAAGTAATAGGGCACTAGTGCTCGGATCGGCCCGAAAATCGCTGAGTGTATTCTCTGGACCGAGACGAGCAAAACATTACATTACGCAAAAGTTGTACGTCCCACACCTGACCACATGGGGGCGCCGGAAAGTGAAAGAATGAGCTTTTTAGGGCAAAATGTTTGTCCGATGAGGCTAAAAATGAATTCAGAAATACAGCGTATGACCCTGAACACAACGATATGCAACACACAACTGTGAGTGCAACAGCGCCACCTACAGGCAGTTCAAGGTGTTGCATTTTTGGCTTCGTACTAGTCCCTGGATTTTCATCGCACAGACTTCTACCATGTCATTTATCCATCTGGACGGATTGAAGTTATGCAATCATCGCATAAAAGTTAGAATTTTGTTATCGTTTTCATGCGAGGTAGCGGGGAATTTCTCCATGTTTGATGCTCTCCTGACCACAGGCTCAGACCTACAGAGCTGAAACTCACATCGCTAACAGTTGGTAATGGCCTGAGAGTAATGGTGTGAAAACACACACCTAATATGACTCTACAGCGCCACCTATGGAAGGCTTCTGACCTAAACTTTTCCGATCTTCACCAAAGTTGCAAAATCAAATCTTTACATCTGTACGAGCAAAATACTACTCTACGTAGAGGGTGCATGTCCCGGAGGTGACCACTAGGGGCGCACTTTATCATATTAATGAGCTTTTATATTCGTAATCCTGGTCAGATCGGGCTGCCAATTCGTCGGCGTGACGCTTGTGGGACCGGCGCCCGGGAGGCGGTCGCAAGAGGGGCGAGGCCTTTCATCGCCGCTTGCGGCTTTAATTATTATTCTTTTTCTTATTTTTTCCGCAACTTCAATTCGATTTTTGACCCTGAAGACATGCACGAAAGTCTGCACATGGGGGGTCTAAAACGACCGGTTCGGCGAAAAATTTGATAAAATGAACGTTTCCAGATTGTCCGACGCTCGCCGACTCTATAACGCCCCCTAGAAATTTCATTTTTTTGACCCTCTGGGGATTTTTTTTCAAATTTTTGAGTAGGTACACGAAATTCGGATGAGTGATAGATCTCTATGAGACGAGCATATAAAAGCCGTTCTAAGCACATGTTCTGGGACCACGCATTCTGAAGCAGGACCAACAGGAAGTCGAGCCCAAGGGGAGATAACATGCCCATAACATGCCCAAAAATATCCTGCATAGACTCAAGCTGCGATCAGCTGAAATATGAGCACACAAAGAGCGAGAGGGAAAAAGAAAAGTAAATAGGCTTAGGCTAGTTAGTATTTTTTCTTTCACAAAAGTTGGCGCGGATCATATGCCATCTTTCGTGGAGGAGGAAACATCAAAACATCAAAGGGCGCACGCGGGGAACAGCGGGGACTAGTCTCGTTGTTGAAGTCCCGATGTTCCCCCACTTCCGGGTCTGATGTTCCCCCGCCTATAGAAGTGGGGGAACATCGGACCCGGGGAACATCGGTACGCACCCCTGTTACTAGCCTAAACTGTTACTAGCCTAGCTGTTACTAGCCTAGCTGTTACTAACCTAGCTGTTACTAGCTTAGCTGTTTATCAACATTTAAGGCCAGGAGGTCATTTAATACAATTCTTAATTGTGTAATATTTTAGAGTTCCAGACTGACTTTTAGGTCCTCTGTGTTGCAGGCCGGCCCCCCCCACCCCCTCAGACCCCAGGGCCCCCCCCACCCCCCTCGGAGCCCAGGGCCCAGCCTCAGGAGCGTCCCACCAGTCTGCTCAGTGATAATGGCGGCTTCGGACCTCAGCCCGGCCCTCAGCACGGCCACCTCGCCCTGCCAGGGGACAACCCACAACAGCAGCGCACCCCCCCGCCTCAGCCTCAACAGCGCCCCCTCAGGAGCCGCCAGGGTAAGACCACTATTATTGCACTTGTTTATTTATACAGGAAGTTTATCACGGAGCTTTATCTAAAGCCTGGTTCACACGGCAGGATAATTAGAACGATTTAAGACCTGATTAATCCCTAACGATCTTTAATAACGCTCAGATTATCGTAAAAAAAATCTGATGGATTTTCCATGTGTGGCGTGTTAAGACTGCGTCGCTCTGAAGGAATTCGGGACTGCTATAATCTCATATCGGGGATATCCAACATGTTGGATTGTTTTGGTCCAATTCCTCTTCGTGTGTGGTGTCCCCCGAGGACAGACGAGCGCGTTGCCATGACTGCGGCGTGTAGCCAATCAGAAGACGAGGTGACGAGGCGGCGAGGAAACACCGTAAAAATACAACTCACCTCCATATCACGAAGTAGCAAGTATAGTCCATGCTCGCGTTGTCTCCACTTCTTTGACTATCACCTTTTCTTTTGATAACTGGAAACTATCGCCGCTGCATCCTCTTCGTCCGCCATGATTATTTTCTCTGAAGTCACGCTTGATCTCGAGAGATTTTGTGAGATTTCCGTCTGACCTGGGAATGCTCGGGGGTGAAATCGGTTTGTGTATGATGTGTGTGGTTTGCGTGATTTTGCCGTGTGGCTGCACCACACACTGTACAACCAAAGTGGTTAGACCCATGATTTTTTATCTCCGTGTGTGAGGTCTCACACAGAGAAAAAATCAGCCCACAATTTTAAAATTGTCTCGTGTGAACCAGGCTTTAGAGGTGGTCTGACAGAGTGTGACATCACCACAGGATTAGCATGAACATAAGCTAGCCTCAGTCCGGGGTCTACAGCCTCAGTCCTGGGTCTACAGCCTCAGTCCCGGGATATTTTTACTCCTCTGTGCCCTTCAGAAGATCACATGACCCAAACACACAGAGCAGTGTAGCCAAGGGTCATGTGTGGAGGCTCATGGACGAAGATTAGCTCCAACTAAACGTCATCCATGATAGACCAGAGAGAGAGACCAGGGAGAGACCAGGGAGAGAGACCAGGGAGAGAGACCAGGGAGAGAGACCAGGGAGAGAGACCAGAGAGAGAGAGACCAGAGAGAGACCAGAGAGAGACCGAGAGAGACCAGAGAGAGAGAGACCCAGAGAGAGACCAGAGAGAGAGAGACCAGAGAGAGAGACCAGAGAGAGACCAGAGAGAGACCAGAGAGAGACCAGAGAGAGACCAGAGAGACACCAGAGAGAGAGACCAGAGAGAGACCACAAAGACACCAAATTGAGACCAGAGAGAGACCAGAGAGAGAGACCAGAGAGAGACCAGAAAGAGAGTCCAGAGAGAGACCAGAGAGAGAGACCAGAGAGAGACCAGAAAGAGACCAGAGAGAGACCAGAGAGAGACCTGAGAGAGAGACCATACAAAAGGAAAATGTACAGGTTTGAAATGTAAAACTAAAGTGTATAAATCTTTCCCGCAGACTTCCAGAGCGTCCAAAAAAATCCACAACTTTGGGAAGAGGTCAAACTCCATCAAGAGGAGCCTGAACGCCCCGGTGGTGAAGAGAGGCTGGCTCTACAAACAGGTCAGACACCAGGGGGCGCTGTGGTTCTACAAACAGGTCAGACACCAGGGGCGCTGTGGCTCTACAAACAGGTCAGACACCAGGGGGCGCTGTGCATGCTTTCTCCCCGTGTTTTGTATTTACGACTGAAACCGAAGACGCAGAGAAATGAACGGAGAAAATTGAGAAGGCCTGAGGTTTGACTCTGAGGTTTACGAGATCACTTCCTTCTCTTTCCTACAAACCACGACAACAACTGCTGTGAAGGAGAAGAAGACGAAGCGCTAAAGCTAGCATCACGCAAATATTCTGTTTGAAAGATAAACAGTCAGAGCCAAACGAGAGGGCTCCACCTTATTAGAATTAGAATATAAGGGCCCTGTGAGTCACTGTTTGACACTGATGAAGATGAAGGGATCCTACACAGCGGGGAATTGTCAGTGTTGCATCTGCAGTCACAAAAGTTAGAAGTTTGATTTATTGAGGACAATGTGCAGTGTAGATGATGCTGTGTATGTATCCATCCATCCATCTTTCTTCCCCTTAATCCATTTCTGGGTCAGGGGGGTCAGTGGCAGTCAGAGCTACACCCAGTCCACAGAGCACCAGCCTTGATCTTTCAGCGAGTGCTTCAGGCAAAGTGGGGTTACTTTTCTTGCCCAAGGACACAACGACAGCAGAGATCAGTCCTGCCGCCTGCATCTAAAACCCCACACAAACCAGCCCTCTGCCTTTATCCGTCCCCTCTGGATCAAGGCTAGGGCTTTAGTGGCACCTGGTCGGAGCAGTGGAGCGCTCGTTTGGTAATTACTTTGGCGTTTATTAAAAGGTGCCGCACGGTCTGTGGAGGCCGCTGTCTCTGAGGAGGCCAGGAGCTGAAGCCGAAGAGAGGAGGAGGAGCGATAACGGATCTCCCACGTCTCAGGCAGACACATAATTAGGAGTCGGGACTGGGAGGACCTCACCTGGCCTGATTAAAGCCCAGTGATTAATCTGCGCTCCACACCACGCTTCCACCCCAGTATTTTTAACCCTCTCTGAAAACGGCGGCTTAGTGACGGGTGTGGCGAAGGAAGAGAAGGAAGAGGAAGAAGAAAAGGAAGAGAAGGATGTCTGAGGAGAGAGTTCTTGTTAGACCTTTTACAATGAGTGGGTTTAAAAAGCTTGAAAACTCTACACACACACCACAAACAACCACAACCACATACAATCATCAAATAAGTAAGATAGGTACAACCAAGAAAGGATATGAAGCGAGGTGTAGCTAGCTCCAAGTTCTATCTACCTACCTACCTACCTACCTACCTACCTACCTACCTACCTATCTATCTATCTATCTATCTATCTATCTATCTATCTATCTATCTATCTATCTATCTATCTATCTATCTATCTATCTATCTATCTATCTATCTATCCATCTAACTATGTATCTATTTATGTATCTACCCACATTCCCACAGTAAAAATGACAGTACATCCAGACCTCTCCCCACTCCTCACCTTTCCCCACATTCCCACCTCCATTGTCCCCATCACCGCCGTCTCTTTAGGCAAATATCCTCCATAACCATAACCCTCATACATCTGCAGCGGTGGAGCCCGGGCGCTGTGATGATATGAAAGCCCAGCCCCCCGCGGAGCCTCCCCCTCAGTGGTCCCTGGACTTGAAAGCCCGGGATGATGACTCCTGCGCTCCTCCTCCACATGGAGTCAGCGTAATGTGCTTTGATGTGACGGCCTTCCACTCCTCTTTCTTGCTCTGTCTCTCTCCGAGCCGGGATTAGGCGGCCGTATAGAGGGCAATAAGACTCCCGTTCGTGCCCTGGCTGCGTCTCTATGGATTCTCTGAGCTGCTGTATGCTTTACTGACCTGGCTAAAATCCAGTGTGAGGCTGTAAGGATTATATGTATTTGGTTTGACCCAGAATGTCATGGTATAGAGTACAATTTTAATTTATGTTCTTACCTGTTTTCTTGTCTTTTTGAGTTCTTGAGTTGAGTTTTTTTTTTGAAAATAGTCCAGGGTTTTCCAGCTGAATTAGACTAATTTTGATGCTCTGAGTCCGAAAATGACCTTGGTTTTGCTCAATCAGGTCAAGATTTTTTGCTACAGAAATATTTTTTAAAATCAATTTTGCGTAAAAAAACAAATTTCTGCGGATCATCAGCTGAGAAACCCTTGACGTTTTTTCCGTTTTCCTCAAGAAATAAAAGTCAACGAATCCAAAGTCATTCAGTTTTTTTTACTCCATCAAATTTGATAAGCAGAATTCATAATAACGTAGTAATCTGTAACACTATGGCTGTATCTCAAAAAGTTGACCTGATAGAGCAAAATGCATGTGATGTTCGGACTCAGAACACCAAAATTAGTCTAAATCAGTTGAGAAACCCCTGACTATTTTTTGGCTGTCAACTTGTGTTATCATAAGATGTCAGTACATACAACATCCATCTATCCATCCATCTTCTTCCCCTCAATCCATTTCTGGGTCGAGGAGGTGGAAATCAGCTGCACCCAATACAATCAAACCCACAACCTTCAGGCTCAAAGGCCAATGCATTATCAGCTGGGCGACAATATCTCAGTCGGTAGAGCAATGGCCTTTTAGCCAGAAAGTTGAGGGTTTGAGCCTACCACAAGAGTCTATGCAGTGTATTCCACCCATTCTGATGAGACACGTAACGGACAAATCTTTATATTTCATTCTGACTTGTAAAACCTGTGCTGCAGACTGGAGATGGTTCTGTCGGTCACATCTAAAGTGTCCATCTCGGTCCGTTCTCTCTCAGTGAGAACAAACAAATGTTATAGTTACAGCTTTTAAAACATTCAACCCATAACCATCCATTATCTAGTTATGTTTCTCCTAATGGCCTGGACGGACGTATTGCCAGCTTTCTGTCCAGAACGACCTCTGTATGTTTAGTTCTATACATAATGGACACGTGGAGAACATGCAAACTCCTCTCAGAAAGACTCAATTAACACTAGGAGCGCCCCTAGCGGTCAACTGACCGTCACTCACTTTAATATGCTAATTAGTGTATTCAAAACAAAACGCCAGAAGTTGAAATTTTATGACTTTTACTGGGTACTTGTTGTTTATATTTTGGTGTATTTTGTTTTTGGAAAAAGTAAAGAAAACAAGATTTACACGCATTTTAACTTTTCTAAACCACAGCCCTTTCTGCTGCCCCATAGGGATACATGGCGCAGGGGCGACTGTTGTCATAGTAACCTTTCCCGGGGGTTTTTCGCGCCTTATACAAATGTATCAATATGTTGTCATTAGACTCTAAAGGGACTTGAGGTTTTTATTTGGGAGAGAGAAAGAGTTTTGAATTGAGAGGAGTACAACATGAATAGAGCTGCAAGTACACGGTATGAAGCCCAGACAGTGCTTCAAGACATTGAATGAGAACAGTCTGACGGAGGTGAGATGTCACAGCGGGGAGAACACCTATAATATTCTAAATCTGAACGTAAACCCGTAGTGCATTCACGGCACGGACAGCAGTGTTGGAACAAGTCCAGAAGCAATAACGCACATGACCCGCGTAATGCCAGCCATACGCAGGTGTCTGTGTGCGCCTGTCGCTCCATTCTGCCTTTTCATTCATCATCAATTACATTCTTATATTTATACATAGAAGAAGGCAATAAAGCAGAATACAATATCGCAATAAAATAGAACAATTAGATGAACTATCAAGGCAGAGTGCAGATAGAGCGCTGTGGCCTCTCGTCACCCGCGGACACTGCAGAGAGGGACTGTGGGGCAGAAGCGGCCCTCATCATATCAATAAGGATATCTTTCTTATTTCATTCAGATAACACTGTGTGTTATTCTGCACAGCGCGCACTGCAAGGCAATGATTATAATTTTCTTCTGATCATAAAGAGCACTGCTTGTCTCAAATAAATACAAATATATATATATAACGTGTCCCGTGTAAAATTGAAGATTGTACATTGACGATGGTAGCCTAGCTGATGATCTTGTGTCAATACGAATACTATTATTATTATCGAGATAATATTTCCCACAGTGATTTCGGCTGGAAAGAGAAAACAGTCTGGAGATGACGTAAGAAGCAGACGCATACAGCAGCGCGAAGACGTTATGGTCCCGTGCTCTAAACTATCATTTATATTGTTTGAATTGACATATTGTTACTGAGTCAAATTTAACATATAGTGACCGACCTTTTACGTGTTTGCAAAGTTACAAAATAAATCTAGCCTGAAAAGTCATGGTAATTTTTTTTTATATCGGCTGGAATTACAATTACTTAGCATATTTACAGTAGGTCCCATTCCGTTTTGTCGTCTTCATTCACGCTTCTCGGGAATCACGCAGCTGCGTGAAAAATAGTACATCTTATCGCCACAAGGTGGCAGGCTAAGTCCGCTTTAGCTCTGCCAGCGACTTAGACGCTCAGGTATAAGACTGCGTGCAAACCTGTCTAGCCCAGAGGTGCTTTGTTGGCCAAATGGATAGCATTAAATACAGGGACCTGGAGAACCCAGGTTCGATTCTTGTCTGAGGCACATCTTTTGGTTGCTTGTGGCAAAATTGTTTTTTCATTAAACAATTATTATATAACATCTTGTCTTTAATGTCTGAAAAAATCTAGGTGAAATTCACTAGTGTTATACGTTAAATATTGTGATATGTTTTGATAAACCGAACGTTACGTTACATCCTCCGCTCTGGCCCCGAGAGCAGCTGCTGTGACCCCCGCTCTGACAGCTCAGTGAACGCACTGCAGTCTGGGCTCCGAGCGCGGACCATAGACACGCGGACTCACGTCTCTCTCTCTCTGCTCGCGTCTCTCTCTCTGCTCACGTCTCTCTCTCTGCTCACGTCTCTCTCTCTGCTCGTGTCCCTCTCTCTCTGCTCACGTCTCTCTCTCTGCTCACGTCTCTCTCTCTGCTCGTGTCCCTCTCTCTCTGCTCACGTCTCTCTCTCTGCTCACGTCTCTCTCTCTCTGCTCGTGTCCCTCTCTCTCTGCTCACGTCTCTCTCTCTGCTCGTGTCCCTCTCTCTCTGCTCACGTCTCTCTCTCTGCTCACGTCTCTCTCTCTGCTCACGTCTCTCTCTCTGCTCACGTCTCTCTCTCTGCTCGTGTCCCTCTCTCTCTGCTCACGTCTCTCTCTCTCTGCTCGCGTCTCTCTCTCTGCTCACGTCTCTCTCTCTGCTCACGTCTCTCTCTCTGCTCGTGTCCCTCTCTCTCTGCTCACGTCTCTCTCTCTGCTCACGTCTCTCTCTCTCTGCTCGCGTCTCTCTCTCTGCTCGTGTCCCTCTCTCTCTGCTCACGTCTCTCTCTCTGCTCACGTCTCTCTCTCTGCTCGTGTCCCTCTCTCTCTGCTCACGTCTCTCTCTCTCTGCTGCTCGCATCTCTCTCTCTCTGCTCGCATCTCTCTCTCTCTGCTCGCATCTCTCTCTCTCTGCTCGCATCTCTCTCTCTCTCTGCTCGCATCTCTCTCTCTCTCTGCTCGCATCTCTCTCTCTCTGCTCGCATCTCTCTCTCTCTGCTCGCATCTCTCTCTCTCTGCTCGCGTCTCTCTCTCTCTGCTCGCGTCTCTCTCTCTCTGCTCGCGTCTCTCTCTCTCTGCTCGCGTCTCTCTCTCTCTGCTCACCTCTCTCTCTCTCTCTGCTCGCGTCTCTCTCTCTCTCTCTGCTCACCTCTCTCTCTCTCTGCTCACGCCTCTCTCTCTCTGCTCACGTCTCTCTCTTTCTGCTCGCGACATGGCAAAACAATCACTGATGAATTGGCTACTAATGCAATGCACTGCCTCAACACAATAATAAGTAAAGAATACCAAATAGTTTCGCGTCCGCGATGTATTATTTTAAAACTTTAGAATAAATTCTAATATTTAATTTTAATGTTATTTTACAGCTCCTCACAGCAAGCGCACTCCAAGGACTTGAAATGCAATTCTTCCGGAAAATCTTTTTGTTTACGATTCTCAGCTATAATGACGACAGCCCCAATGCAATCCTCTGTTTGTAATTCAGCTGTGTAAATACTGCCATTTCTCCGCAAGTACAACAAGCTATCCTTGCGCCTGTCACTCACAGTGCAGTTTCTGGCATCCACTTGCTGTGTAGAGAATCTCAATAAACAAATACATATCACTCAATCAACACCATTTAACGTTCAATCGGACAATACAGTTAACATATACATCCCTTTATACACTCAGCACGGGACGATTGCCAGATAATTGTGTTTAGTGTTAACGTTTTCATGACAAAATACTGTTTTAAAGGACAAAAAAGCGATCGCGAAAAACCCGGGAAAAGTTACCATGAAGACAACTAGCTAGCAGCTGTTACCTGCCTAGCACGTTCCGATGTGGAAACCTTTGGGAAGTAACTATTTATGTCAATCATTAAATTAATTGTGTACTAAATTATAAGGGCTGTCTAATATTTGTTTAAAATATGGATTATATATTTTTATTTTAGAATTTTTATTCGATTTTTGTAGTCGAGGCCTGGTGTTTAGCAGCGCTGTAGTGAAAGAGGACGCAGGTGCTCGCTCCTTGTTCTGTGAGCGGATCGGAGAACGAGCGGCCCCCGCTAAGACGCTATCAGCACTTTTCACTGCCTGAATTTCATACACAGTTGGAATCAATGACCTCAAGTTTTCAATTAATTATGTATTTTGATACAACTTGTTTGTGGTTATAAAAAGCATTTTTTATGAACTTCTTAGAAAAAAAATCGGGAATAGCTTCTTAAGTCCATTGAAATATAGAATGCAATGAA